CTGTACTAGAAGTCAGTAAATAGTATCTAAATATGGAGGGGAAAAGGTCAGGAGATAACAGTGTAATCAGATTACTTAGAAAGATGGAATTATAATACCAAGAGAAATAGCTAAGGGTTACAAGAGTTAAAAGTCATTGCCTTGGGAGACTAAAAACGCAGTGTTTAATGTGAAGATATCTGTACAACGACTTCACAGTTACGGTCCTCTTGATTTTGCCAGTGAAGTGGCAGTGTTTGCTCATTTGAATTCCAATTTATAAATGAGGTTGCTTTATATTTAGTCAGGATGAGAATTTGTTATATCGTTTAATGAAATGGAGAAAACTAAAGCAGTGTGAATCAGTTTTGGGAGAAAATGAAGATGTATTTTCACTGTCTGATCAATCTAAGTATAAATGTCAGTTAGACAATTAGACATGTAAAATCTGGAGTGCAGAGGACACATCTGGGATTTAAATAAGTCTTTTGGAGTTGTTATTTAGAAATAAAGGAACTTATGAGATCATATGTGTAGGAAGAGAGGTACAGAGAGGAGGGGGCTCAGGACTAAGTCCTGAGGCGATTACATCTAACGCAGTTGAAGAGGAAGAGCCCATAAAGGAGATGTAGGAGAAAGGACAAGTGAAGAACAAAGAAGATAGGCAGTATATGATGTCAGTGAAGCCAAACGTTACTTGAGGACCGGTAGTGTCCATTAGATTAGGCAACATGGGTTTCGTTGGTGACCTTAATAAGAGTACTTTTTGTGGAGGTGGGGGGACAGGAGGCAGATGGAAATCAGTTGAAAAAGTTTTAGGAGAGACTATTGCTGCTAGTATGGCTTACAAAGGTTTTTAAATCTCTGTCTACTGATTGGGAGCTCTGGTGGCATAATGCCTAAGGTATTTAACTGCTAACCAGAAGACTGGCGATTCAAACCCACCAGCTGCTCCTTGGAAGGAAGGTTGGGCAATCTACTTACGTAGTGATACTATCTTGGATCCGACTCCATGACAGTGAGGTTTTTTTTGTTTGTTTGTTTGTTTACTGATTAATTATGTAAGCTGTAATTAACATTGTCTGTTTTGGTTTCAGGTCAGGTGTCAGCCCTCCACTGCAAAGCAGACAATATTAGGCAACAATGTGTACTATTTCTTCATTATGTTAAAGTTTTCATCTTCAGGTAGGATGTCAGCTGAGTATTTTGATTATTGCATGAATTTCTAACTGTGTTTTTACCCAGACTATGATTGTTTATTGTGTCTAATTGGTTTTTAGGTACCTGAAAGTACAAAACACTGAAAGTCGTGTTGCTATCCATCCCTATGAGGCTCTGGAGGCTGAGCTTCCTTCCGTGCTAGTTGATGAGCTTCATGGATTGCTCTTGTATATTGGACACCTATCTGAACTTCCCAGTATTAATATTGGAGCATTTGTAAATCAAAACCAGATTAAGGTTTGACTTATTTTATTTACTTTTTAAATGATCAGGTTTTTCTCTCCATGAGGGATATTTATTCAAGAATGAGGGCAATTAGTCAAGAATGTAGCTTCAGAGTCAGACTACCTGAGTTGAATTCTAGCTCCTTCTTTTAATAATTGTACGCTTTTAGACAAGTAGCATCTTTGTGCTTCAGTCTTCCCATCTGGATAATTGATATAACTCCCATTTTCCCCATTCTGTCTTGTTGTTATTGTTGTTATGTGCTGTCAAGTCAGCCCCGACTCATAGCAACCCCTCCTTGGGTTTCTGAGGCAGTATCACTACAGAAGTAGATTGCCTAACCTTCATCTCGATGAGTGGCCATTCTGTCTAGGGTCTTCATTTTTCATCCTTTTCTGAGTGATTGGCAGTAGTAGTGAGGCACCATCTAGTTCTTCTGGTCTCAGGGTCATGTAGGCTAAGGTTCCCAAGGTTCTCTAGTCCCTTGGACTAATTGTGCCCATGAGTTTTTCATTTTTTTCACTCTTCTTTGTTCCAGATGAGGAGAGACAATAGTTGCATCTAGAGTGAGTGGGTTTTTAAAAGCTTATGTGTGGCCATCTAAGGTGTAGCTGTTGGTGTCTCCCCATCTGGAACAAAGAAGAATGAAGAAAATCAAAGATACGAGGAAACAGTTAGTGCGAAGGACCCGTGGACCATGTGAACCCCATCCTCCCCAACTCTTGACACCAGAAGAACTAGATGCCCAGCTACACTGCCCACCACTCTGAAATGGATCTCAATAGAAGGTCCTGGATAGAGTGGGAGAAAAATGTGGAACAAAACTCAAAATAATAAAGACCAGGCTTACTGGTCTCATAGATATTGGTGGAACCCCTGTGACTTATGGCCCTGAGACACCCTGCAAGCCAGGAACTGAATTCACCCCTTGGCTCGACTTCCAGCCAAAGGATAGACAGGCCTATAAAGTGAACAATAAGACCAGGGAAGTATATTCACCTTAGAACATCAGCCATACAAGATCAAAAGTGCAGCATGGACACAGGCATAAAGATCATAAGACAGGATAGGATAGGAAAAAATGAGAAATGGAAACACTAAACACAGGGAGGAAGTGGGAAGAGTGCTGTTACCTTGTGGGTACTGCAATCAGTATCACAAAACATGTATTATTGAATTAATAAATTACTTATTGAATTAATTATTGAATGAAAAACCAATTTGATCTTTAAACTTTCACCCAAATAACAATAAAAGTTATCAAAATTAAAAATAAACTTTACCATAAAGTTGATTGAGACTCATAGCAACCCTATATAGGGCAGAATAAAGCTGTCTCATAGAGTTTCTCCTGCCAAAAAAAAAAGCACATTTGTCTTTCGCATCCATCTTTTTTTCCAAGTTCTGTGAGGTGGGAAATTTATTTTCTTAGGAGTAGAGAAGTTAATAATCATGTCTTTTATTGAATGACCCATTCTTTCTCTATTGATTTAAGATGCTACCTTTATCTGTTTTTCTCTTCCTTAGTCTTATTTATCAGTTATTCCTTTGCCAATAGTGTTTCATTAGTGTAACATTTTATGTTGTTTGCATATCTGATAAGGCAAGTCCCTTCTCCATCATTATTCTTAGCTTTAACAGAACATGTTATTATATTAATTTTTATAATGATAGCTAGAGGAAAGTTTAATAACCTGGTATAGCACAGTAGTTAAAAGCACTGGCTTTTGAATCAGTTTGACTTGGGTTTGAATCTTAATCCATGAATTCAGAAGTGAAAATTTTCACCTCTCTTCAGTTTCTTAATGGGAATGACTATAGTATCTACTTTGTAGGCTTATAATGAAATACATATGTTTAGTATATGGAGTCTAAAGTTACTAAAATTAAAGAAGTTACTGGGAAATTATGAAACATATTCTAGCTAAAGTTTGAAAGAAAATCATGAAAATAAATGTTTTAAAAAAATTAATTTAGTAACATCAGAGGTTGGTTGTAAGGAATCTTTGCTATATAAGTTTATTCTGCAGCCCCGAACAAATGGGTCTGTCTTAAACAGATGAAACTATATCTTGCTTTCAAAGATCTATGGAAGAATCCTGTAATGAATAAGACAGAGGTTTTCCCTGAACTTTTGAATAGTGTCAGGTTACTTGGTTCTTTATCCTTGTGCTAAGGTAGGGTATTGTGACATGCTATGGAATACCTAGTAAAGCAGTGTGAGTGCTCAGTCTCAGCTGATAATGTCATTCACAGCTCTTTCCACCATCATGGCATTTATTACATCTCCACTTAGATGTCCATTGGCTGGTGCTAGAAATCCTTCATATCCTGGGTGAAAAACTGAGTAAGTTTATGAATTTTTTTTATCTATGATCTTTTTCAATCTAAATTTATATTTTACTGCTTTCTAAAATTACACAGGTAGTAAATGCATTCTGACTGCTGAAAAACAAAAATTTAAGTAGTAACCACAGTAAAAAGTCCTTTTCCCAGAAATAACTAGTGGGAACAGCTTGGTCTGTTTATCTTTCCAACCTTATTTTCTGGTTCTTGTGTACATATATAGAAATACATAGGCTGGATTTTTGGTTTTGTTTCCATCCACAAATGGTAATATTATAGTGTGTGATCTTTCATTTAGCAGTTTTTTAAATATCTTTTCAAGTTAGCTCACATAGTTCAACTTACTCATTTTAAGGCCTTCATGTTTTGATTCTCCCATACTTTATTTAGCCATGTCTGTTTTTGAACAGAGGAGCTCTGGTGGCATAGTGATTAAAGCATTTGGCTGCTAACTAAAAGATAGGTGGTTCAAACTCACCAGCCACTCTGTAGGAGAAAGATGAAGCCATCTGCTTCTGCAAAGATTTATAGTCTTAGAAACCATTTGGGCAGTTCTACTTTGTCCCACAGGATTGCTGTGAGTCAGAATTAGCTCAATGACAGTGGGTTTGGTGAGATTGAACATCTTTATATAATTTATATAATTTCATTGTCTTTCTGTATTTGTTGTATTAATTACTTCTTTATATCTTTTTATGAATTGTCCAGTTGTGTTTTCCTTATTAATTAATAGTAGCTCTGTACATATAATGGATAAAAAAAAAAACAGCCATCAAGTCGATTGTGACTCATAGCAACCCCCATTAGGTTTCCAAGGTGGTAAATCTTTTTGGAAGTAGATTACCTCATCTTCCTTCTGCAGAGCAGCTGGGGGGTTTGAACTGCAAACCTTCTTGTTAGCAGTCAGGTGCCTTAGGCACTGCACCACAGAGCTGCTTATACTTGTGGATAATAATTCTTTATATCATATATTGCCTATTTATTTCTTGGTCTTGCTGTTTGATATCTTTAGGTGCTCTTAGAATTATAGCAATACTCTAAATATTAGTATTTAGTTATAAAGTGAATGATTGATAATTTAGGTTGTACAGATATCCATTACCCAGCACTTACTGTTCAATAAATTAATAAATTCATATATGTATATATAGATGTGTGTGTATGTGTATTCACTTACCTGTATCATTCAAATACACAATGATACACATTTATAATTTCAGCCCTTATATAGACTATTTCAAATAATATTTTGTTGGAGCAATGCTCAGGTGGACTTACTCTGATATCAGTACAAATTTTGATATATTACCTTGGTTATCTTTATTTTGTATTATAAAGAAACTGCATTTGATCAATTCATCTGTAGTTATTAAAAGAATAATATTTTAAAGGCTTTCTTGGTTGGATATATGAGTGAAGATTTTCTGGTATTCTTTTTTTTAAGTCATGGTATATAGATGCTTTTAAAAAATAGTCAAATTAAGAAAAGTCTACCAAATGATACTTGGAAGAATTGGAAACTTAAAACTGACATTTATCAGTATTCATATAAGAAAATATTTTATTTGTCCTCAAATTTAATTTATTTGCAAAGTAGCAAAAAATAACTGTATGTTGTAGTTTTGTTCAATAAGTTAATTTAAAGGTATGCAATTGATTTTTCCCTTCTGAATTAGTAAAATCTACTTCAGTTTTAAATGTGATTGATTTTATTATGTTTTCAGAACATGTTGTGTATGGTCATCAGTTTATGAATCTGGCAGGTGATAATTTAACCAATGTCAGTCTATTTGAAGAACATTGTGAAAATCTTCTTTGTGATTTAATAAGCCTGTCACTCAACAGGTATGACAAGGTAATGCTTTAAGAGTTTATTTGTATTTTTGAAACTTAGTGGCAGTAGTCATTTCTTAATGCATATCATTTAATCTGGAAAGATTTAATCTAATATGTTTTATTTTTTAATCTTGTTAATTTTGTATTTGTTTACTATTATCTGGGAGCTGAATAGGAAGAGAGTTTTGATTTAAACATTTAAAGCAGGCAAGAATTAGTGTCTTAGAACTGTTTTTTTTGGGGGGTGGGCCTTTCTCATGTTTCCAAAAAAATAAATACAATCAAGATGTTTTTGATCTTGACTGAAAGTTTTAACTTCTGTTCAGATAGGAGAATCTAGGTCTCTAATGACCTGTTGTATTGCTATTATATAATAATATGAATATTTACCTAAAGTTAGTTGATAAAATTTAAGGAAAGTTTTGTGTGCTGATTTTCATAAAAGATCTAGAAACATTAGAAAAATACATATTTTTACCAAAATGTATTTATCATGGGATGTTTAATACAGTTAATAATTTAAAGGTGTCACAGAAACAGGCTTCAAACCAGTTCAGTCATGCCAACTCAGCAAAATCAGAACAGACATGAAATTTTAAAATTTAGGTAAAGCAGAGCAGTAGTCCAAATGGAAAAAGTTAGAGTTGAAGCCCTGGAATAGAAATCTCAGAATAGGCATAGTAAACACTTTAGGATCCTAATACAGGAAATTGGATTATTGCCACTACTGTGGAGAACAACACATTTTCAAAGTGGCATGTTCAGCTACCATCTGTGAGAGGGGCACCATTGTTTCTGACTCTGCCGGTCAAGAGACTGGGTTGCTATGCAGTGTGCATGTTGTCCTTGTTTTCTGAGAGGGAGATTAAGTTTCTAGCAGGGCATTGTCTTGTAATTTTTCCCATTCAGGTTGTTGTTCAGTTCATCCAGGTTTTACAAATTCACACTCATTCCAGTTTCACTTTGTCAGCCATGACTGAACCAGAAATAACTGGTTCAAAGTCCTACACAGAACATGCTCATTTTTAGAAGATAGATATTTATAGATTATTACCACTTATTTCAGATTACACACATAAAGCCTACTTTTGTAAAGTCAATGTATAACTTTAAGATTTAGATTCAGATTGTTTTTTATGCATTTACTATCACCACCTTTTGAATTTAATCATTATGCTTGCAATTAAATTAATTAGTCAGTTAATAAGATGTTGTTGTTGTTACATGCCATTGAATCGGACCCGACTCATAGCGACCCCTCCTTGGGTTTCCGAGGCAGTATCGCTACAGAAGTAGACTGCTCAACCTTCCCTCCTAGGAGCAGTTGGTAGGTTTGAACCGCCAGCCTTCTAGTTAGCAGTCAAGTACCTTAGGTACTATGCTACCTAATAAGATATAGTAATAATACCTTAACAGACATTATTTTATAGTATGTTATGTTATATATTATATCTACGTAACATTTCTGAAATATTGAATACATTATAAATTTCTAAAGTCTCATTATACTTATAAAGATGGCACGCAGTCTATATTATCTAGAAATGTCCATTGAGAATGTTTTTGTTAGAAAAATGGTAATTTAGAAATTGCTTAAACTTTATAAATCTCTAGTATTTCTATTTAATCTATCTTAAAAAGTTTTTATTTTGCTTTACAGTAAATTAAAATTTATTTTCTAATTTTTTATTGTCTCTTTATTGTGGTAGATGGATTAGATCAGTGTCAACAAACTATGGCCCTCGGGCAAAATCCAGCCCATCATTTATTTTTGTAAATAAAGTTTCATTGGAACATAGTCCTGTCTAATTGTTTATCTGTTGTCTACTACTACTCTTACCCTGCAACAGCAGAGTTATGACAGGCTGTATGGCCCACAAAATTTAAAATATTTACTATCTATCCCTTTACAGAAGGAGCTCTGGTAGCACAGTGCCTAAGGCATCTGACTGCTAACCAGAAGGTTGGTGGTTCAAACCCACCAGCCACTCAGCAGAAGTAAGACTGTGCAATATACTTCTGTAAAGATTTACTGCCTCAGAAACCCAGTTGGAGTCACTGTGAGTTGGAATTGACTCGAGGGCAGTAGATTTGGGTTTCCTTTGTTTAGCCCTTTACAGAAGAAGTTTGTTGAACATTGGTTTGTTATTAAAGCAGAGGTAGTTTTGAAGTTGAAAATAGAATTCATTCTATACTTTTAGATATAAACTAGATACTTACTTTAAAATTAATAAAGTGACTTTTTTTATAAACAAGTTTATATAATTGAGCATAAAATTCAAGTCATCAAAATCATTTTCTAAAACTTTTTGAAAGAGATGTGGCTACTGTCTCTTATGAATACCTCATTTTCTTTCTTTACGACAGGTTAGAGCTTCAGAGGCATTAAGGAGTCACCATTGTCCATGTCCATGCATTAAAGAATTATGGGTTCTACTCATTCACCTTCTAGACCACAGAAGTAAATGGTCCCTCTCAGAAGTAAGTTGGGAAATTGATACATTAGTTGTTACTCTGTTATATTGGATTTATTCAGTAGTTTTGGCTGAGAAAAAAATCTTATTCTTTCTTCATACTCAGGCAACAGCAACCACCAAAAAGAGAGTAACTGAATGCAGTGTACATACTATATTTTTAGAAGTCCCTGGATGGTGCACTTAGTTAGAGTTAGTACATTTGGCTACTAAGCAAAAATTTGGTGATTTTAGTCAACTCAGAGATGTGTTCGAAGAAAGACCTGGCGATCTATTTCCAAAAAAATCAGCATTGAAAACTCTAGAGCACAGTTCTACTCTGACACACTCTTGGGGTCACCATGATTTAGAGTGAACTCAAAGCTACTGGTAAAAAAGTATGTTTTTAAGCCTAAAATGAGTAATGCAAAACATACGGGAGAAGTACAAGATTCGACTCTCTTAAGATTTTCCCAAGCACTTTTTTGTTCTATCAGGGATCTTTTAAACATAGCCTCCAGCAAGTTAAGAAGCATATTAGAAGATAAAGAATTAATAAACATAGGTTTATATTAGTCAATTTTACAACATCTTATTTTAAGGAGGGAGGGAGGAGGACCACAAACGGAAAGATGGGACTTTTTTTCCTCCAGTTTGTTTTGATAAGACATAAGACTTTTTTTTATTTAGCTGTTTTTGGTTATTTGTTATTATGTGACATCGAGCCTATTCTAACTGATAGTGGCCCAAAGAACCTATAGGACAGGGTAGAACTTCCCAGAGGTGTTCCTAGGCTGTAATCTTTTCCGGGGCAGGTTGTTGGTAGTAGAAGAAGAAAAATACCCATAAGCCAACATAAGTATAAACAATTTATAGTGAAATGATATTAAAAGTAGTTTATGATATGTGGCAAATGTGGAAAAGTTTATGATACTGTGGCGTTACATGGATTTTTTTAATATCCCACTTTTCCATAGTTTGGGGTTTGGATGCTTATCTGATAATAATAATGCATCTGTGTTTTTGTGTATTTACTCTGGTTGTGCAGTGGTTAAAGCATTTGGTTGCTAACCCAGAAAATCAGCAGTTTGAGCCCACCAACCACTCCATGAGAGAAAAAGGAGGCAGTGTGCTCCCATAAAGATTTATAGCCTTGGAAACCATACAGGGCAGTTCTACTCTGCCCTAAAGGGTCACTATCAGTCAGAATCAACTTGATGGCAGTGGGCGGGTGTAATATATATTTTAAATTATTATTTTAGCACTAACTTTGATGAGTATAAATTTATGTATTTTTATTTAATATGAAATTAAAAATTAGCAATCATAAGTTATAAAACAACTGTATTTGACATGTTTGGAGGCAAAAGAACCAACCTTGAAAATCAGTAGGATAAAAACTTATCAAGTGTGGTAAAACAGATTGTAGAACTTATAGAAATGAAAAATGTAATAATTAAAATTTGAAACTCATTTGATGGGCTTAACCATATATTATTATCAACCACAATGATAATTAGTGAACTAAAAATTAAGACTCATGAAGACAGAGACATACGTGAAAATATGAAAGAGTAGTTAAGAGAAATGGACAATACAGGGAATGTCTTAATATACTTACATTTTTATAAATATATGACAAAATTTTTAAAAAGCCAAGAAATGATTTATTATGAAGGTCAGGATAATATTTACTTGCAAAAACGGTGAGGAGGCCACATCTTCCGACCTCCACTAACCCTACAAGAGGAAGACAGGATTACCAGCAGTAACCCAAGGCCTATTCCTACAAGGCTAGACATGCTGCCTCCCTCCAGCCCTTTCTCCAACCGTTCCTCCCAGAGTACCCACCACCTCTCTCCTGGGCTCGATAATTCGCTGCAGTGGCCACACAGAGCTCACAGATTATGGGGTTTATTAGGGAAGCACCACAGGCTACAATTCAAGTTCAGGAAAAATGCTCAGTCTCTCTCCCAGCCCATCATCCCTCAGCCAACAGTCTCTCATAGTCTCTTTCCCAGCAGTGCTGGTCCCTTGGTGTCTCACTCAGCAATGCATGTCGTTTGCGTTTCTTTCCCAGCAATGCGTGTCTCAGGAGCCCGTGTCTCTTTCAGCAGCACGTCTTCCTCAACCAGCAGAGTGAGTTCTGCCTCTAGGAGGCCGCCTTTTGAGCCCGGCAGGGTGGTCAAACTAGCCAGTCACAGCATCAGAACTCTAAGGACCTGAGAGAGAGTGGGCACCTCCCAGAACATTGTATTGTGCCACGCCCAACAGAAGTACTCCACGTGGATAACATTTACAATCAGGAGCCCCTCAGTTGCTCATTCCACCACTGAGTTTACAATGACTTATGGGTAGAAAAGCCATACTAAGTAATTTACTACACTGCATTACTCTTTGATGAGAGAGGAAGAAGATTGACTGTGGGAATATGTGGGTAGGGGTTTTCTAAAGTACTAGTAATACTCTGATTCTTTTTCTATATATATTTTATTGTGGTTATATGTGTGTGTGTGTTTGTGGTATGAGTGTGCCTGTCTGTACGTATAACACTACATTTTCTATTTTAGTCATTTTTAAGTGTACAATACAATGTCCTTTTGTGCCTGATTTATTTCACTAGCATAATATTTTTAAAGTTGATCTATGTCAAAGTATGTCTTGAAACTTCATTTCTCATTTCTTCATTCTCACTTCATTTTTAATATTCCATTGTGCATATGTATCCATTCTGTTTATACATTCATTTGTTGATGGACCTTTGGGTTGTTTTGTTTTCACTTTTTGACTGTTGTGAATAATCTGCCATGAACATTGATTATTGCAGTGAACAAGTCTCTGCATTCAATTCTTTTAGGTATACACTTAGGAGTGGAATTGCTGGGTCATATGGTAATTCTGTGCTTAACTTTCTGAGGAGTCAAACTCTTTCCAACAGTGACAATACCATTTTACATTTCCACTGTTGTTGTTATGTGCCATCGAGTCGGACCCGACTCATAGCGACCCCTCCTTGGGTTTCCGAGACAGTATCACTACCTTCCGAGGAGTGGCTGATGGGTTTGAACCTCCAGCCTTTTGGTTAGCAGTCAAGTGCCTTAGGCACTATGCTACCAGAGCTCCCTACCTTTCCACTAGCACTGCATAAAGTTTCCAGTTTCTCTACATGCTTACTAACACTTGCCTGTTTCTGTTTTTTGTTTTTTAAAAAAATAATAGGCAACCTAATGGGTGTGAAGTGGCATTGTGGTTTTAATTGCATTTCCCTGCTGATTTATGATATTGAACATTGTTTCATGCACTTACTGGCCATTTGTGTATCTTGGAAAAATGCTTTTTCAAGTCATTTGCCCATTTTTTCACTGGGTTGTTTCTGTTTTTGTGTTGAGTGTAGAAATTCTTCATATATTCTTTTGATATTAAGCCCTTATCAAATACATGGTTTGCAAATATTTTCTCCCATTCTGTGAGTTGTCTTTTCACTTTATAATGTCCTTTGCTACACAAAAGTTTTTCATTTTGAAGTCCAAATGTCCAAATTGTCTTTTCATTCTTTTGTTACTCATGCTTTTTGGGTCATATCTAAGAATTTGTTGCTAAAAACAAGATACTGAAGATTTACTTATGTTTTCCTTTAAGAATTTTTATGATTTTACCTCTTATATTTAGATCATTAATCTATGAGTTAATTTTCATATATGATGTTGTATACGTGTGTGTATGGATATAAGGGTTCAACTTCATTATTTTGCACGTGGCTTACTTTTGATAGAGATTGTGTTAAATCTGTAGGTTGCTTTGGGTAGTATTGACATCTTAATAATATTAAATATTCCAGTTCATGAACATGGAATGTCTTCCATTTATTTAGGTTACCTTTAATGTCTTTCAGCAATATTGTTTTCAATGTACAAATATTTTATGTCCCTCATTAAATGTATGTCTAGATACTTTATTATTTTAGAAATTATGTTCTAATTCTTAACCTAGGTGTATTTATTATTATTATTAAAATTGTATATATGTGTTTTATATTCTGTGTATATGTTATTTTTTATTACAAAATAAAAGGAAACCCCTAAATCAAAGGTTATTGAAACTGTATTTTAACTGAATCATGTTGCCTCTATTTCTATAGTCATTTTGGAACTGGATGAATAAATTAGTTAGAACACTCTTTGAAAAATCAAGTGACCGAAAACGACCTGTGCCAGTGATCCAGTCCAGGGATCCATTCGGTTTTAGTTGGTGGATTATTACTCATTTAGCATCACTATACCAATTTGATCGCCATGGAGTACCAGATGAAATGGTAAGATCATATTTAAACTTTCTTATATTATCAATTAATACATATTTTTTTGTAGACTAATTATAAAGTAAATAAGCAGAAATAGCGACAAAAATCATATCATAATTTGACAGATACATTCAGTCTCTAATTCTAGAAGCTGTAGACCTTGCTATAGATATCTTAAAAAATGATAAAATCCATGTGTTTTTGTTTTGTTTTGTTTTATTTCCATTGTTTGCTTACAGAAAAGCAGCTTGTAGGAGTGTAGTCTTAGTTCTGCTAATAAGTAGTCTTGTGACTTTCAATAAATTCCTTAAACCTTTTTGGCCATCTTTTCCCTCAGTCACGCCATTATCCAGAAAACATGGGATTGGATTGGCTGATTGTTCTAAAGGTTCCTTCTGGTTCTAAAATCAATAAGATTGCCACAGGGGAAGTATATGGCTCCAGAAAAGAATAATTGGTTCTTTTGTATAGTTATTGATAAATTATTTCTTCAGAATAACACTTCTTTACAGGAGTTTTTTACAAAGATAATCTATTAAATAATAGTGAAGTTTTCTTCAAATAGAAGACAGATTTTTAAGTAGTATATCAGTTTCTAGTTGGAAACATTTTTTTTGCAGTGTAACTTAAAAATTCCTATGAAAAAACCAGTTGGTAGATATATTTATCTGAAGAATGTTTTTATATCATTTCTTCCACATTTAGAAATGAATAGTATTATAGCATTACATCAGCCTACAAGCTCCATAAAATAGGCACCTAGAATCTGACAGTTAATATGTTTATATTTTAAAAATTGTTCTTTTTTATGGAAGTGTTTTCTTAAGTAGCCTGACCATCAGACCCACCTGGGAGATTTTTAAAATCTGGATTTCTAGGTCTCAACTCAATAGATCCTGATTTCATAGAGCCTGAGATTCCTTGTTGTTAAAAATTCCTTGCTTTTCATCCTCTGTCAGATATAAGAACCATTGTTTTATGAAATCTTAGTAGATTTGACAGATTTTTCTCTATCTGGAAGACTGGACAGAGTCAGCTCTGCGAAATCATTTGTGAAATCTGAGGGTCAGCTAGTATTGACATATAGGGCATCATAGAACTAGAAAGAACCTCAAGTCCTCCAAATGATCCCCTAAATAATAAAAGGGGATTCTAAGATAAAGTAAAATAAATCAGAAAGTGCTCTGAGAAGTTCACACTTACCTCCGTATTAATGTTACTAAGCATCACACCAGTTTATTAAAATAAATCAGTAGAATGAGTTTTTCATAGAAATGATAGTATCTTCTTGGTTTCTGTATATGAGGACTTACCATGTTGGTACACAATAAACACTCAGTAAATGATAACAATTGCCATTATTACTATAGTAACCCTTTATTACGTATTTTTGTGGATTTGATGTGGTAATATTTCACATCTTTTTGGTATTAGAACAACGTTAAAGCAACTGAAAAAATTTACCTGTAATTCTAAGGTCTTAGCATAGGCATTTTTATTTATCTTCCCTTACAACCAATTTCCCTCCAAGTACACTATTTCTAATTTTGGTCAATATGTATGAATACAGTAATAAGTTGTTCTGAGTTCTTGTGTGATATCATAATAATCGATGGTGATTAGAAGGTAATATGAAACAGATTATAGTGACCCTTGTTTCAGGGAACATGCATTTAGGTTATTAATGCTTGATGAAACTGTATTAACACTTCTTTGAGTCAGTCGTATCTTTCATAGCGGTTGATACTGACCCTTAGGTACTCCCAGTTTGGTAGGTAATTTGGCCCCATTAAATATATTATTACTATTACTGTAATGTTGAATTGCATTGGTATATCCACCCACAATTGCATGGCTGAAATCACTCTTCTATTTAGAGAACTCCAGGGAGGTTATTGATTTTATTAGCTCTGACTCTATAGTAAATGAATTGTCTGTGTTTAAAATAGCATAACCTTTGTCTTGTAATATTTGTCAGCAGCTCTTGTTTGATTTTCTTTTGCTAGGATATATATATATATATGTATATATATATATGTATATATATTTAATTTTCACTTTCAAAACTATATAGAAGGTTTTAAAAGGAAAGATTACCATGATTTGAAAAAGAACCTTTTGTATGATAATAATAAGGATGTATAATATATGTTTGTATGTATATGTAAAATAAATCTTGCCTTTAGTCACAAGTCCACAAAAAGCTCCACATATGTTTTTAGACTTCTTAAAGGCTTTTAAAGGAAAACTCAAGCTTTCCAGTTAATAAATGTTTTTTTTTGTGGTCCTTTACAATTCTGTAATCCTTTTAGCTTCTAGTCTATCTGAGGTAATTTTTTTTTTTTTTTTTTTTTAAAGCGGTAATACTACAGCTGATTGCATTTACAAAGTATTTAACACCTTGCATTGACTATTCAATTTTTATCTTGGGAAAATTTTATAAGTAGTTAAAAGGGTGATAATTATATCCTTTTTATAGGTGAAGAAACTGAGCTACACTGTATTTAAAAACCTCCGTTTCTTTGCTACTTGAATAAATTTAATATTGAGGTCCTCCTAAGATTTGCCTTTTATGAATAAATCCGTGGAGCCCCGGTGGCACAGTGGTTAAGCACTTGGCTGCTATCTGAAAAGTTGGTGGTTCGAACCCACTAAATGCTCTGTGGGAGAAAAATATGACAGTCTGCTACCGTAAAGATACACAGCCTTGGGAACTGGGGAAGTTCTACTCTGTCCTATAAGGTCACTATGAGTTGGAATTGACTGCATGGCAGTGAGTTTTGGTTTTTTTGGATCAAGGTAACAGTCTGTCCCAATTTGCCTGATGAAGTCCCCTTTTATACCTATTGTTCTTTGTCCTGTGTAGTTTTGCCTTTTACTCTCAAAAGTACCTGTTTGGTTGATAAATTACTTGGTCATTCTGATCTTAGAATTTAAGGCATTTTGGCTCATTTCTTTCAGAGATTACATGTTGTTGTTGTTGTTGTTATGTGCCGTCGAGTAGGCCCCGACTCATAGCGACCCCTCCTTGAGTTTCCGAGGCAGTATCACTACGGAAGTAGGATTGCCCAACCTTCCTTCCGAGGAGTGGCTGGTGG